GTTCTCATCCATCAACCTTCCGTAGCGAATCTCTAAACTCTTCAACTTATCAGACATTTCGTCTATCGCAGCTACTCTCCCTTCCAGTATGGCTCGGCCCAATTGCGTATCACCCACTCTAGCCGTCATGATTTGGAGGAAACCGCCATCAGCCGCAGGCACGCGGTTACGCCAGAGTGACCAGATTGCGATGGCCATAAAGACAGTCGCTGCTGCTATACAGATGCTGTATGGGAGGATAAGACTGAGCGGGCTGCTGAGCGTATATGTACTGCGGTATCTCGTGCTCGTTACTGGTACCATGTCCCACCAGGTACCTAATGAGATGGCAGAGATGGTGACATTGGCCAGGAATTCGTTGAGCATAGGCTCGGTGATATTGAGCGATTGTCTTGAGTCGAAAAAGGCGTCGTAGTAGCTGGAGTCGAGTGGAGAGCTTTCGAATCGAGCCGTGTGGAAGACGGTACCGTTAAGTAATTTTTCTTTGATCTTCGTTGCCCTGCGTATTTAGTGGATGTAATAATACCAATTTGTCTTGTTACGATTACTGACCGAAAAGGTGTGCCAGCGCCCGCAATCATAAGATGTGGTAGCGCCTGATGAGCTCTTCCTCTGCGGGCACGCTGGCAGACCGTTTTCCCCCATAGGTATTGGTATCTCTTGGGTACACGTCCCTTCCACAATTGTTCCCAGCGCATCTAAAATAGCCCACTCGTTGGAAATGGGTATAGCCGTGGCCAATCGCTGGTACCAAACTTCAAGTGCTCGTGGTTCTGGCGGAAGCTCGATCCGTAACGAACCCCTTGCGCCGAGCACGTCGACTTGACTCGAGACTGGTTTCACATCGCTTAAGGTGTAATCAATTGTTTGAACGCCGCGCGGAAAGGTGATGCTGACATTATAGAGGGCAGACTTAGCTTTACAAACCTGTTCGTTACGCACACCGTATGCCTTCCAGACCAGACTGCCATTCGGGTTACGCTCCGCACCGTAGCTCGCAATTCTGTGTTGTCTCAATGAGTGCTCCTTGCGCTCTCGATTCCATGCCGATATGAACACAGGTACTTTGGCCCACTTCCCAGGTGTATAATCAAGGGCGAGAGTAGTGTTATACAGTGAAGTGGTACATTCAAGACGTGGCCCTCTGAATTGTAGGTTGTACGTAGAGTTCTCTCCTGGATGGCCCGGGAGAGAAAAAATCTGGTTGTTGAACTTGATCGCATTTGCAACATACATCAACGGCGGCGCAGGTCGACTGCAAAATTAGATACGAATAGATGGTTGAGATGCTGAGCTTACAAATATGAAAAGGACTGAAAATTAGGCCCTGAAGGTTCTCCCGGAGCAGATGCCATTTGTTCGCCGGATATTGCCTTACCGGCTAAGGTAGGAAAGTTATCATCGCCCGCCAGGTCCAGATTTGGCGGAAGAGGCGGGTTCATAACAGACATATTGTGAAGTTCGGTGATTGTTTGAGCATCGAAGGCTACGGTCAGCGCTCCTGCAGGGTAAATCGTTGCGATACCAAGGCCCCAGGTTAACAGTGCCATGAGCCACAGCAAAGGCGCCCTGTATAACCCTTGGGGCTTTAGTAGTGCAAATATGTTCGTACGAAGAATGAAGAGCATCTCGACTGTCGAAAGCGACATTGCCGGCCCGCGTAGGAGGTACCAGAGGTGTTGCGCAAAGCATGTGCCCACGCTAGCTGTCAGTGCAGCTTTGAAGATCGTGCTCAACAATATGGAAACTGCAGATACCTGGCGTTGTGTAAGAAGACTCGTGTCCACCGCCTTCTGGTCAAGCTGCTTCACGAGCACGTAATGTCCTAGCGCAGCCAAGAGAGCTCGAAAGATGTCAATAGGGTTATTCGTATGCGGCAAGCAACACTGACCTGTAAGAAAGAATCCGAAGATTGTGCCCACAGTCTTCCAGAGTGCCGTCAAATTGTTCTCTCTGTTTGGTAAGGAGAGCTGCGCCTCATTCGGTTTGTTCCAGAAGTGTGCTGGGTTGAAGGGCCTGTCAGGGCCTGTACCTTCATTCTGCTGATCAGATTGGTCCTCAGACGTGCTTGCACGACTTGAAGACGCTTCGTGAAATCTGGCGAACATGCGTAGATCCCGGACGGAAGGTGGCCTGTCGGCAGGAGTTGCTGCGTCATCGATGTCGCTATGCTGCGATACAGGGCTATTACCCACTGTTGGTGTGCCGGCACTTTCTTCCATAGCGTCTGGTTTGTTACCACGGAGAGAGTAAGAAAAGGAAAGAGTAGAGATTTGAAAAGGTGTTCTTCGGCATGGTTATGGGTCTGCACATTGGTAGTGAAATCGTGGCTTAGACATTGCTACGAGATTGAAGGTTTGCTGACTGCATTGACCCGCGAAGCAGGTACCCAATGCCATAGCGGTTCTCCAGCGTCTGGCTTGTCCGCTATCGATGGATCTATATTGCGCCACGATAAAAGTAGAGCTAAGTGGATGAAGACGTGGCTATTGGCCCCACGCGAGATGTTCCCCAAGGCTTGAGTGGCGCTAATGCATGTGGGCTGACATCTGTGGATCATGACTGGGTAGCCTACCCAGGTAGGTACGTGTGGAGAGTGATCATGCGGTCAAGACGATTAAGAGGAGTTGTAAAGGATGAGAATGGGGCTGAAGACAGTGAGTGCGGCCCCAGATGGACGCGCGTGGCAGACGAGTTCGCGCCAAGAAGAATTAGCAGCTATTGGCGCAGTGTCGCCGGACTCACCTGGGCAGTCACGACACTGGTGGATATGTTATATGCAAGCGCTTCACCGCACCGATGATACATCTGTTAAGGTGATTCAGAAGACACTCATCGACGATACTGAGTCTTCTCTTTTCACCCACAGCATGAGCGGCGCACGCGTGTCAAGAGGTCGAATTCGATCCGCCTCGCACCGTCGTACGCCACGAGCTCGCGATCCAAGCCATCAACATCCGCCATGAGTCTTTCCACGACTTTGAATTGGTGGATACAGAAGTAACCCCTTCTCCACGCGTCACCGAGATCAGACACTCTAGAAGTCACATACCTTAGACAGCCATGAATCTACTCACACCCACGAAGTCATACTCTATGACTGAACGCCAGAATGCGGAGTATAAAGAGCCTTGGAGACAATGGCAGAGATTAGACATCAAAGTACTCAATACACATCCTCTGTCTCAAGCCTTCAAGTCCATATACCGAAGAAAAGTTCCAAAATTTTGTTCAGCACCCCAAAGCGAACTCCATTTCAGACAAACAACGCTCATCATCTCACACGTGAGGCCAGGTTACAACACGACGTTATGCCGAAACCAATACCGCAGGCCTGTATACTTCATCCTAGCCAGAGCCAGAAGTACAACAAAGTCTGTATTGGGGAGAATACGACAAACCATGACGGCTCTGGCCCAACTTCACGACTCTGTGAAAGGTGCACGAAAACCCATCCCCAAGTCCTGAACGTGCTGTTGGACAAAGCTAGAACGCAACCTGAAGGAACCAATCAGCCAATCGACACAGCAACGTACAACACCTGGCACCAAATCATTTCAGAGAAATGGTGCGCAGAAACCGCCTCTACAGCGGGGAGCTACAACTGCGTCTGTCTGCATTCGAGGTTCAAAAATAGGAAGACCAAAGAGGCGGAGAGGTTTATCGATGATCTGATCAATGTAAAAATGCTTTACGCCAAGTCCACTGCAGATTTGTTTGAACAATACCCAGAGCTTGGATACAGAGAGTATTTGACGACTTGCGAACCTGTGGACCAACAGACAAAACTGTGCGCCGAGTGCAAGAAGGCGATGGACGAATGGAGTATTAAGACAGCGGGGTTGCGACCTCTTCTCGCGAACAACAATAGTGAACTCCAGCGGTCCGTGTATGATCGTGCGGGCCCTTAGTTGGCATGAACAGGCCTTCAGCTCGTCGCGACGATCTGGCAGGTGGAATATCGGAACCCAATGTGATTGTCAATAGAGTGGACAATGCGGCTTCTCTTATGTTTTCAGAATACATCCGTGCTGTGCACGCCCATTTCCTTAGCACATTCGTTTTCACACAGTCATAGGGCCAGTAGAGCCTAAGGGGACGTTTCTCACATTGTGTGTCAATGGCATCTGTGCAGGGCACGGTGCAAAGACCAATACTTGTCCGCAGAAAAGCCATGTAGACAGAGGAGCAGTCGACGAGGAGGTTTTCCTTTGGCATGTATCAATATAGAAAATCTACCACTATCATTAAACACTTACCAACTCGAACAACATGACATCCAAGCTGCTCACGAAAGGCACACACGGGGCTGCTTCATCTTATCAAGTGCCAAAATTTGAAGGACACGTAGATCCGTGCGGATATGGTGTAACCACACCACCAACAATCGCTCAAAGAACAGTCATACAATGCATGCTTGCCGCATTTTCCAACACACAGCCTGGATAGCACATTACCAAATTAACAGTTGTACAATTCATAGTCCGCAATGCTCCTGACATGCACCCCAACCAACAAATTCGTTAAGAAATGCGAAAACAGGATCCATTGAACCCACCTTCCGCGATAGAGATACGGAATCAAAATTTCCACTCAACAGTCAAGTCATGCCTTATCGCGTCGCCCCAGTCAGACCCTCTGGTGGTCAAAAGCTTGTAGAAGTCATGAGCAGAGTCACAACCACGAGCCACATCGTATGACTGGGTGCGAGTATAAAATGCGCTGGGAACGATGGCAGATATTAGACATCAAAGTACTCAATACCTTATATCCTCTATCTCAAGTCTTCAGGTCGATATACTACAAACCAATCTTGGGGATTTACACAACCGCCAAACTCGAGCTATATCCCGAACAAACACCTCCCAGCAGTCCGCCCAGAAACAAACACTGAACAAAACGAGACCATGCCAGATGCTGACAGTATCGGTGTGGCCTGTGTCTTCAGAAAGGACCCATCGATATGTGTCCAGGATAATTCACCAGAAGACGATACCAATATGTGTTCATTCTGCATAGACACCCTGCCCCAGATATTAAGCGACGAGCTGGAGAGCAAGCGACGCCTGATTGCCGACAACGCTAGATACGAACGAATGCGCGAAATGATTGAAGGGAAGTGGAAGACGACAGCTCGCAACAACAACGGAAAGTTCTTCTGTGTGGCTAGACAGTCGCGCTTCCGCAACCCGAGCAACCCGAGTGGAAAGTTGCTCCTCGAAGGAGTCGCCAAGGCAAAGATAGAAGATAAGGCAGAGATAATTAGGGAGGCGCCGGCAGGTGAGGTTCATACGGTGGACCATGTGAAACATGCAGAGTGTAAACCTGTAGATCAAGCAGAGAGGCTATGCCTAGATTGCAGCGTTACAGTACGGGTGTTCGGATCTCCTGAGTTGAAGAAGCTATTCAACAACGACATGGAGATGGAATTGACAGACAAGGTCATCAAGGATCTGAATGATCACCCATATCCTTGAATGACGAAGTCTTTCCAATAACTCGGGTGGCGGACTTCGGGAATTGACGTACTCGGGTAGTTGGATTCAACGGGCAATGGAATATGGTCTCTTATGTTGCTTGGACTCATCTGTGCAGGGCACGCTCACCTTCATTACGACACAGTTTCCCAACAGTCATCGAGATAGCTCGAGGAGCCGATGGCACATTTTCCTATAATAGATGTTAGTATGTATGTAGATCCGTGCTGGTGTAACCGCACGACCAACAATCCTTCAAAGAACAGTCATACAATGCAACAAGGCGCTCGAACCACAGACCACTTGGTAGACAGTGATGCAACAACAACATACCGCGTCGTCCGACAAACATCCTGGAAAGTAGATCAGTGTATTGACAGTCATACAGCGAAGTATTGCCGCATGCTGCAACAAGGGGCCAGGACAGTAGATCACTTCATCGATAGTCCGCCACTGCCTGGCCCCCAATGCGTCCAACAAGCACCCCAGGCAACAAATCATCACCCATACCACGACACCGTCAAGAAATGCGATACTTTCATTCGTAGAACCGCCCTCCTCGCTAAATATGCGGAAATAGATCTCTCACTTAACAAAACACTCTAAAACGATGCGATACGCTCAACCCAGCTCAGAAGCCCACAGCAAGCATCAACCCATACCCAACCGTAATAATAACACAGAAAGTAATAATACTCGCCGGCACACCCCTCGTCAAAAAGTGCTTAACAGCAAGATACCTCTGTCCAGTACGTTGATCTTCCATCATGATAGCAGCTGCATCACGTTAGCACCCATTTTCCAAATACACACCCTTCCACACAACGAAGAAAGGAAGAAAGGAAAGGAGGGAAAGAAAGGAAAAGGAAAAGACTTACTCATATTAGGAAACCCACTAGTCGGCAACCCCATCGCCCCACTAGCCATCAACACCGCGCCCATAACCAGCAAATTAGGATGCGGCTCGGGCATCTGCTGCCCGACCTGCTGGACAAGCGGGAGCACAATAAGCGCCGCAACAGTATGACTGATAAACGTAGCGACCACACCGATGAGTGCGCAGAACACGACGAGAACACCGTAGAGACTCATGCCCTCGACGCCGGCGGTGATGGACTCAGCGATCGTATGCAACAGCCCCGATGAATTGACTGCTTTACCGAGGGACAGGCCACCGGCAGCGAGGATGATGATGGTCCAGAGGAAATTGTTGAAGTCCTCTTTAGTCAGGATGCCGGTGCCGAAGAAGAGGACGATGGGGATGATGGCCACGACGCCCATGTCGCCGAAGATGGATTCGAGCTGGTGGCTCACGCACCACAGGACAATGGTCACGAGCGTAACGACGCTGATGAACCATTGCACGCCGGTGAACTTGTCCTTCAAGGGGCGGATGGGCACGATGCTGGTGCCGCGGCCGGGTTGGAAGGTGATGAGGAGGAAGACCCAGATGAGCAGGATGGAGATGATGCAGACGGGGAGTGCGACGAAGAACCATACGCCCCAGGAGGGTTCTGGGTGCATGTTTTGCAGGGCGATAAGGTTCTGGGGCGAGGCGATGGGGGAGGCGGCGCCGCCGATGTTGGAGGAGAGGGCGATGCCCATGAGCAGCGCTTTGGTCATGTCGGAATCGGCGGGGAGGTTACGGAGGATGGGCTGTGATGTTAGCTTGGTTAGGAGGGCTTGGAAGGTGTTGACGTACCTGGATGATGGAGAAGCAGAGCACAGGTGCGGCAACATTGCTGATCCACATACTGGCGAACATGGCGACGAACATGTTGACTAACAAAACGGTCCTTGGCTTTGTTCCGGCCTTGCTAAGGACAAGGGTAGCCATCATCTTAGCGATGTTGTACTTTGATAGCGCAGCAGCGATTGTGAAACCACCGAGTAGCAGCATGATGACTGGCGTCCACATGGCGGAAAAGACGTAGGATGCGGCTGCCTTGGATTCTAGTCTCCGGTGAGGCTCCACATCGCTTCGGACTACATTCAGTGTTACTGCGAGGAAAGGTACCAGGAGCGATGTAACGAAGAGAGGTATAGCCTGTGGTAATTAGCGTAGAACTGGAGATTTCGAATACTCTGCATACCTCGGTGGCCCATAGTAAACTGACAAAAATCACCATGGCCAGACAGTTTTGCTGCTCAGGCGCCTCCATGATGGGCACCACTAGCAGCACAACGAAGACCGCTATGCAAGCAAGCAGAATCCAAAAGGTCCTGCTGACGAGCCATTGCGGGCACCGATATCTTCCAATCGGCGTATCCACCTCCTTCATGTCTGATTCTACCTCGTCTCCTTGCCGTCTAATCTTGCCGCCCGTTGTGTCGCGTCCGAGCAGTGTATGGCTGATACCGATATTGGCCGCTTGCGCTTTCCGTTCGATTCCAATCATCTCTCGCCAAACTGTGTTTCTCTCCCATACGACGTGTTCTCGCAGATGCAGTCTCAGCTCGCGCTTCGCCTCTACAATGTCGCCCTTTGTGCCGATCTGCGCGTATGCTTCTTCCATGCGCTCGAGGTTCCGCGTGAGTGTGTCCATGGTACTTTGCTGGAAGGGATATGCCGGGTAGACGTATTTGTTCAGGTATGTCTTTTTGAGCTTGCGGTCCATGATCTTGTCGTACTTTTTCAGTACCTTTTCGAAACCCGTCTTGTTCAGCTGGATGAAGGACCGCAGCTCGCACAGGAGAACGTAGACACTGACGGCGCGCTTCTTAAGCGACACGCCTTCGTCGTACAGCGCTGAGAAAGCCATGTCGTTGTAGTCCTCGAATGCGACGCTCGTCTTCCGTCTTGAGGAAACGTGCGAGGCTGCCATGTCTTCGTCGGTGGTCCGTCTGCGTCGCCGTTGACCGTCTGGGCTCTTCTTACGCAGCTGTGCGGTCTCGTCGACGTCTTCGTCCGAATCGTCCTCGTCTCCATCTGCCTCTGCGCCGTGATCCGTTGATCGCCCGCTGGCACCGCTCATGGCCCGCGGTCGGTTGAAGCCGATGGCTTTGAAGACACTTCCACTGCGCATCTTCTTCCCTGGCGGCGCATTCTCGTTCTCCTCATTGTACTCGTCCTGGTGGTACTCGAACAGCTCCTCGTCCTTAAGCAGGGCCTCCATCTCCTCGAAGATCTCATTCTCCTTGAGCTTGTAGAAAGATGTGACGCGTTCTAGTTCCGTGTCGAGGGTATTCGTGAAGACCTTGTCAGGGTCATCGGCATCCCCGTTGAGGAGTGGTGAGGATTCGGCATCGGCATGCGCCTGCTTCTGGTTGAGCTGTGTCTCAAGGCTGTATATTCTGTAGATAGTCCGTCAGCCCTCGATCTTACTAGTACTTCCTCAGCCCACCGGGACGCGCCACATACTGCTTCTTGAGGTTGCTGTAGGCAATATAGTGATTGCTCCAGTCCGGCACTGCATTGAACTGCAGGCTGTGGGAGAACTTCATCTCGTCGGCCTCGCGAAGCTGCTCGAGCTTCTCCCGTCGCCTTTGTTCCCTCTTGGTCTCCCGCCGTGTCTCTTTTGGGGATGTGGTGAGTGGTTGAAGCTCAAAGGCTTGGATGGGCGCAGCGTCACGGTAAGGGCTCAAGGCGTCCAGGGTGGAGGCTTGCGGGTTGTGGAGGAGCAGTGTTAGGCAGTCTTCAGCGAGAAGACGCTACGACAGGCAGGCTAGAGGGCGTAGTCGCAGGCGGTCAGGTGGCGTGCAGCACGTGGAAATGCGGCATTGAGATGTGTGGGATTGGCGCGGAACCTTTCTCGGCGCTGGCCTGAAGATGTGGATGCGCTTTCGTCACCGCACACCAGGGCTGCGCCGGAACACATGGGCCGGCCATTGGCCCTCCGCCGCGCTCCCGCACCCACACCTCCCACGCCCATACACGGTCTCGGGATACGCGACAGGTAGCGTCTTCGAGCATCGTCACGCGCCTAAACCCCACGTCCATGGCAAGCATCATATGTCTCGTCTTCAGTGGAACCTTTGCAGGTCTTCGCGATGGCCCGCTCCTGGCCGCGGCTAGTCATTGCCTGCATCCCACCCATGCCGAAACCACTCGACCTGCATCATCGTTGCGCATAGCTCGCCCGCAATCCTCTGCGCCAATCACGCTTCAAAACGTGTGATATCTGGTAGATCGTCTGTTGAGCCTCACTTTGACCAAGACAGTTGGAAATCATGTTGAAAATGCGTGTAGCGAACATTGCTTGAACTTTTATTCACTTTTGGGCTATATACAATCATTTTGCCTGGTGTCGCGTGAATAACATCATCGTTTAGACTGTAAACTGTTAGCAATGTTCAGTCATCTTGGATACTGTTAGACTTACACCTCAGGTCCCAGCCAATCTTGGGTCCTAGCTTGGGCAGCTCCTCCGCGACACTCTGCACGTCCTTGTCACCACGTCCAGAGACACAGATGACAATGTCCTGGTCCTTGTTCATCGTCTTGGCCAACTCAATGGCACCAAAGACGGCGTGCGACGTCTCCAGGGCCGGGATGATACCCTCGAGCTGAGACATCAGACGGAAGCCGATGAAGGCCTCAGCATCGGTGCAGGCAATGAACTTGGCACGGTCGCTGTCCTTCCAGCTGGACAACTCTGGGCCAACACCGGGGTAGTCGAGGCCAGCAGAGACTGAGTGAGTCTCGCTGATCTGTCCGTGCTGGTTCTGGATAACGTAGGTACGCACGCCGTGAAGCACACCCTTGGTTCCAGCGGAGAGTGTTGCACTGTGGCGGTCTGTGTCGATACCGTCACCACCAGCCTCAATACCGAGAAGCTTAACGGACATATCCTTGGAGAAGGGGTAGAACATGCCCGCGGCATTGCTGCCACCACCAACGCAAGCGACTACAGCGTCGGGGAGCTTGCCACGCTTGGCCTGCATCTGCTCTTTGGTCTCGTTTCCAATGATCGACTGGAAAGTACGGACAATCGTAGGGAAGGGGTGAGGACCGATGGCGGATCCGATGATGTAGTGGGTTGTGTCGAGGTGGACGACCCAAGCGCGCATGGCCTCGTTGACTGCATCGCGGAGGGTCTGCGCACCAGCCTCGACAGCAACGACCTGCGCACCGAGCAACTTGATGCGGAAGACGTTCAGGGCTTGACGCCTGACATCCTCGGCACCCATGTAGATGGTGCACTTCATGTTGAACTTGGCGCAGACAGTGGCTGTCGCAACACCGTGCTGGCCAGCTCCAGTCTCGGCAATAATCTCAGTCTTTCCCAGTCTCCTGGCAATGAGTACCTGTCCAAGGGCGTTGTTGATCTTGTGACTTCCGGTGTGGTTCAAATCTTCTCTCTTCAACCAGATGTTGGCGCCTCCAGCGTGCTCGGTAAGGCGCTCGGCAAGATGCAGATGTCCTGGTCTGCCCATCCAGTCGTAGTAAGAACGGTACTCTTCCCAGAACTTGGGGTCTTCGATTGCTGTGTTGAAACCCTCCTCGAGCTCAGATAGACAATCCATCAGGGATTCAGGCACATATTGCCCGCCAAACTCGCCGAATCGTGCGGGAAACTTGTGCTTCTCGTCAAATCCGTTCTGCTGGTTGGTTCCATTCGCGCCATCCGTCTCGTCAGTGTTGAGCATCTCCAGCTGGTCGGCGAGACCAGGGCCATCCGGTGTGTCAGCATCTGTGATGACCTTGTCAACGTGGACGCCGGTGGGCTCCTTGGCCTCGTTCAATGTCTCGACAATGCCAACTTCGCGAGTTGTCTCGCGGGTGCTCTTGCCGCAGATCTCGTCGCAGTACTTTTCAACTGCCTTTGCGCCCTCTCCTGCTGGAGCCTTGATCAACGTGTTGATGATCTGGGAACCGATAACAACACCCTCAGCAATCTTGCCTACGCTCAGGTAGTGGTCGCGTGTGCTGACACCGAAACCGACAGCCGCCGGAACATTGCCAGAGTATTTGTGGACGCGCTCGAGAAGTTGAGGAAGGGCAGCGTTCATTGTGCCGCTAGCGCCGGTGACGCCCATACGCGATACGACGTAGATGAAGGAATCGGCGATTTTGCAGAGGACGCGCATGCGGTGCTCGGAGGTAGCGGGTGCGATGAGGGGAACGTAGGAGAGACTGCCTTGTTAGTATTCGTCCCAAACTCGTCTGAATGGTGTGCTTACCCGTAGCTGCGGCAGAAGTTCCTGAAGCGCAGAGCCTCCTCCGGTGGCAGGTCGACCATGATGAAGCCGTTGGCTCCAGCCTCCTTCGCATCCTGCAGCATCTTCTCCTCGCCGTAGCTGAGCAGCGGGTTGTAGTATCCCATGAGAAGGACTGGTGCCTTCAAGCCCCGCTTCCTCGCATCGCGGATCATCTGGAGAACATGGCCAATCGTGACGCCGTTCTTGAGGGCTTGCTATAGACACATGGTGTCAGGGAGGTTTTCCAAGGGATTGTGGCGAATGAGTCAACGTACAGTGTTGGCGGTCTGAATTGCTGGGCCGTCGGCAATGGGGTCGGTGAAGGGCATGCCGAGTTCAATGATGTCTGCGCGTGTCAATTGACTGTCGTCGCTTCGTTCGGGGCAGCAATTGCTCGTCCTACGTACCAGCACCTCCGGCCTCCATGGCCATCATGATGTCTGGCGTCTCCTCTGCGGTAGGGAAACCTGCAGTCACATAGGTGACGAGGGCAGACTACACACATGTCAGCCTGGCGTGTCTCTTCCAGCTCGTGCCAGATCATACCCTGCCCTCCTTCTTGCATTGCGCAAACGTCTTCTTAATGCCGTCCATGTTGCTGAATACCGAGTCGAGAAGTTGGAGTGTGTGACAAAAGCGCAAAGCCAGAAGCTGACTTCCTTATAGATGAAACAACTGTGAGTCACAGTATGGGCAGTCGTAAGGGTGCGCGGAGATATCGGGGTCTGGTATGAGTCTTGTGTTCGCAATTTATTGAGGGCCGAAGGCGGCGTAATGCCCCTCCTCTCCGGCATTAGCGGCTCAATGGGGGAAGGCGCGCGAACATCATTCCTTCTAGAAGCAAGTCTTACCAAACTCCACACTTTTTTCAACTCATACACGTCATTGCGAGACTCTTTTGTACATTAGACTACCCAACCTCGTTTTACATACATGGAAACCCGGTACATTCGCTACATGTGTAGATACAGCATACAGCTCGGTCTTTGACACCCGCCGCTTCGGTCATTTGTTGCCTCTGGAACCTTTCCGAACTTCATCTTCATTCACCGTGTGGTTCTCATTAAACCAACTCCCGCGACCGCGTTCGATCATGACCTCCAGGCAGAATTTACAGACGGTGTCTTTCTTCGCATCCTTCGGCATCAGGTTACAAATGAACATGCCCGAGGTTTCTGGGTGACATAGACCGCTACGGCGATTCCGGCTGTCGAGCACATCTGCCGTCATCTGACTATCGGCATATCGTGCACGGCGCGTTACGCATGTCTTGGGGTCCTCGTTCTCTGCGTCGATCTCCGCGAAGACATCATTGAACCTTGGATTATCGCGTCTCCATATGTATGCAGCAGCGGGATGGACCATCGAACAGGTGTCGCACAGCTTAGGGCCGGGGGCGTTGCCGAGGCATTTGTTCCATTTCCTATATAGTGCGCACGGTATAGGTTTGGTATGCGACATGCTTCGTGGATGCAGGTGGCCTGCGCTAGGCTTCCAAGGTTTGTGATGATTGCGAGGTAGCTAACGCGTTTGGGGTCGGCTTGCAGGAAGCGAATGGGAGAAAGTATGAGGCACTTTGTTACAGAGGTTTTAGTAGAGAGGTTTGTATTTACTAGAGGTAAGAGTTCTGGTACTGATAGAAAGAAGAATCGATGCGAATGCTGTCACTACAAACATGATGTATAGTATGACTGGGAGTTGTGACTACTCATAGGTTCAGTCATACATCGCGATGGCATTGCGCCTCGCACAGACATATACGTGCTCCGCCCATGACTCCCTGTGGCAGCGACCCTCACCAGTATCTGCTTCGTTCACTTCTTACAAGCTCAATGTAAACTCTAGTCATACGCAGCATAGCTGCCTTTGCCATTGCAGGACTATCCATTCTGCTGCGTATAGCAGCTTGCCGACCTCATGCTCCCCTACCTAGGTATATAAAAAGTCCACCACTATGGCCCAGTGGGTACGCTTCTTCTTACACGATCTTGGCCAAAGTATTTATCCATGACCTCTTTACTGCCTGGCTTTTTTTGGGTGAAATTCGTAGTCGTTGACGCAGATCTGGTTTTCTCCAAACACCCGCTGGCAACCTTGAACGCCATCGTCCTCGCATCGCTCTTCCTACAAACCAACCAAATCTTTCTCCTGTGGTATGTCTCGCAACATACACGTATGAGTGAGTACTCCATTATCCGTAAACAGCTTCTTCTGCTGTTTTGATCCCTTCTCCTCAATGAATTCCTTGACCTTTACGTACCGTTGATCATGCATGACTTCGACACAGTCTTCGCAGAGCGCCGACGGGTTCTCTACTGTTTCGCAGAGAATAATGTAAGGCCAGCGTATATCCTGGTTTCTATTGTGCATTCCTCTTGCTTCGAGCATGTCACTGAACCAGCTGTAATCGTGGTCGAGCTTTTTATTTTCATCGATGTTACGGAAGTAACATTCGTACTGCCCAGCCGGGGGCTTCGGCAACTCATCTTTCAGCTTTTCGAACTGATCGTCGAGACTTGGGTTGTTGGTGGGGTCGCTCCGGAGCTTTCTGAGCCACCGGCGTTCCTTTCTTGCTTCCTCCAGGAGATACGGATGCTGCCTAACGCAATGCTTGCAAGGCTGGTCTGCCACTTGGTCCGGATCGGGAGTACGTTTAGCCTCAAGCAAGTTCTCAGAGTATGCCATGAAGGTGCAGCAAAAGTCTTTGCCGTCAATCTGCACTCCTTCGCGTATTTCTGAGGCCATGTTGAAGAACTTGTTTGCTCGTCGTGGCTTCGCGGTAGATATAGGTGATGAGGGGTGAATAATTTGTTTTAAGGGCTGGCTCTAATTTGTCGTGAAGTGCTCAAGAAAGACTTGAAGCACTTGTCGTGTTCTTTTCTAGCTAGAGTGAGTCACACTGGTTACAGTGACACGGATAGTCATTGCCGGAGTCACTGTTGGTACGCACTGACTCCAACACTATGACCCCTCCGCAAGACCATCGTGCTCCATTACCACACCTCTTCCTAGTCTATCACACACGACTGAGTCTTCATGCACTAAGCCGCAAATGAAATAACCAGTACAGCTTCGAAATACGGTAGCGCAAGCTTGAACATGGTCAACTCAGAAAGCTTGAACTTTCTTTACAGTGAGAGGCGCAACACCAGGGACAACGACACAGAAGGAAGGTACATCCATCGTTCTATCTATGACAGAAAGCCAAACTGTCGTTCTCCCTCCACTACCCATCTCGATTAGACGGGAATGCCGTCCCCTTTCTTGAAAATAACATCAGGATGGCAGACCTCCCACTGTTCGAATGGAATTTGGCCAGGCACCCTAGGTGCCAACTCCTCTTCGGGATAGTCCTCCTTGAGTCTGCCATCGCGCCAGAAGTATTCTTGGAAACGTCTGCTAGCGAGGCCGTAGTCATTCTCCCAGTTGATCAGCGCAACTTGGTGCCATTCGCACATGGCATTTGGATACTTGGTGTAGGTGTTCTCCCCGACACAATGTAATTTGCTGACCCACGACTTTCGGAAGTCTCCATCTGGGTATTCAAATCCAGCTGGTTTTGGGCGATTCCACACGCAATCGAACCTGATACGGGCGTACGGATGTTTGCCCTTCGTGTCGCTGGGCCGCAAGATATAATCTTTTGCCCAGTCGGAATCTTTTGGAATTTCGTGGGCCATGCAAGTTGCACATAGACGACCTTCATCGGCTCCAGGAGCATCGAGTAATACGCATGGCTCTCCAGTCAGAGGCCGGAACTTCGTTCGCCATTCTTGTCCATAAAACCTAGGATTTCTCATGGCGCAGACAAGTTTGGATTCTTTCATAGCATCTTGCCTGGCTGCTTCCGCCTTTGGAGCCATTTGCGCAATTAGGTCTTCGCTGGATTTGTCAACTCGACGGCTGAGATATAGATTGAGCTTGAGTACGCTCGGGTCCATCTTTTCGCAGTATCCGCAAAGTGTAGTGCCAGGCTCGAACTCCTTCGGGTTTAGACAGGCGTCTGGCTTGAGACTGCATACTTCCCGCATTTGATGGGCCATTGCAATGTTGTGTTGAAAGATCGATGGTAGCTCGTTTGTCTGGTCGCTTTGGGTGGATTGTCTGATGCTGTGCGGTAGGGTTCTCGAAGCTGTGAAGAATGGTATCGGTTTTGTGCAATGCGCTCTTTATAAAGCTTTGTGGAGTCATAAGAATCTTCCTACAGTCAGCACAGTGAGTCTCAATGACTAAAGTCATGACTATGATGGCACTGCCTGACTGTTCGTGTAATCCGATCAACGAGCACAGCCCGCAAGACGCGCCGTCGTAGTTATTCGCAGGGAATGAGTGACTGTTCTATGAACATGAATATGTATCTATTCAGTCGGTTAGTCAGAAAGCTAAAAGACTGAGCCATGCGCTCTGGGTAGCCGACAAGCCGACATAACAGGTCCTGTTGCAACCCACCAGACAGCACACCCACCCGCTCTAAGAATGTTAGAACACAACGTGAACAATGAAGGCCCAAATCCAGAATAACGACTGCTCATAGGAACCGATGAGCCTACAGTACGATCAGGACCGCTCGAGAAGACTGTTCGGAGAAAGTCGACTCGCCTGACGAGTGTACCAACTTTTGTCGCGTCAAACTGCCTCTCTAATTCCCGCCGACGCTGCTTTTTCTTCTCCGCAAGATACCTGTTCAAGAGTTCAGTCAGCATAAAGACAGCTTATGAGTATCGACTAACCTCCGCTTGACACGCATCCAGTCGAGCCACACCATCCATCCGAAGAGGAGCTTCTTTGTAAATTTGCCAAGAGACGATCTAGGAGACTTAGCCCTCACGATCTCGATTCCCCCACAGACTACGTCTTCATCAAATGCATGCTGTTGTCCGTGAATTCTGACTAGGTTCCAGATCAGCGACGGGAACAGGTCGTCCCAAAACACCATCTCTATCTCGGCAAGCTCGAGAGGAAGTCTTGTTAACGCCCGCGCGATATCATCGAGTTCTCCATCAGCAAGCCTTATATATGAGAATTGAGCGGAGAGGATACAGATGCAAGACTTCTCTGCGCAAGTCAAGGTTGTGGGCATATTGTGCGTTGGTGTGTCGGCGAACACCTGCGAAAGAGAACCTTGTTGGGAAGAACAGACAAAGTGATGTGTGGGGAAATGGGTAGTATTTTTTCCTAGCGAAGATAGTAGTTTCATAAGGGTCCATGGGTACCGCGGTTCGGGTTGGATTCAAACATCCATACGCGAGCGACTTCCAGCAATCCGACCAATTCCTATACCAATACACTCTCAGATAAAAGACAGCGAGAACTATCACTGTCGTGATATATACAGTCAGCCACAACCATACAGGCGTCCTTTCCCTACATCCCAACGCACTTTGTCCATATCGATTAGCAATAGAGTTGGCCTGCAAGCCTCCAGACTAGAAGTATAACACCGATAGTCGACCACTTTCTAGTTCCTTCTTGCGACAATGGTCGTTACCGAAACTTTAAGGAAAAGGCCGTTCAGAAGGGATGTAAGGTATGCTACTGCAAAGCCCGACTCAGCCGCGACTTTTACTCCTATGCGCCTGCATCTGAGCGCTGCTACCAGCGGAGACAATATGCCTTTTGGGTTCTATCTTCGCGTTGGTATATCCCGGGGGTTGATTGAACTTCTTTGTCTCGATGCGCTTGTTTTGGGAAGCGATTGTAGCATCCAGTAAGCGAAACGGCTTGCGGCTCCCTTGCAATGTGCCGTTTCTTGTGTGTCGACGTTGCTGTTTGGCATTCCGATGCGGAGGAATGTGCTATAAGCACTAGTCGTGTCGTCTTATCAATCGCACTGTGAATACGATAAAGCTATAAGGGGCTGCCTGCCTCTAGTTCCGTGCCAAAGGTGAGCACCAGAAGCAGTAGCCGTAGGTGTGGTAGTGTCGCATGTTCGGAGAACTCATTGTGGTAGTGTCGCATGTTCGGAGAACTCATTGTCGTTCGTCGATGATAAGCTCGTGTGCCGACCCGGGGATGTGATCGGACCTCATCTGAGGCGTACGGAAAACGTATTGAGGATACTCGACGAGATGATTGACTCAGATCGGTTCGTCGATAGCGCTGCCATCACACCCCATAGTTTCGGCGCAGTATGCCCCACTCCGTATCGAAGTACCGACCAAACCCTCGAATCTCGCACATACGATTGAAGCACTTCTGGCAAAGCTGATTCCTAAACCTCGTCCTGTCACAGCGTCCATCTCTCCTTGGATCCTTTTCCCAGCTTGGGTCCGCCTCACCCTGCTGATTCCGCGGTCCAATCTTCCAGTTGCTGTCGACGGGCCGTCTTAGCCGTGGGTCCTCGAAGACACACGGAAACCCCACTCGGTCACCATCGAATTCCGAAAGCCAATGGCAGGCTTGCTCTTGTGCTTTGCGGTAGCATCGTGCACACAGCTGTCCGCGATGCCGAACTGTGCCGCAGAGGCGAGAATCTTGGGGGTTGAAGTCGTTGCGCCATGCTGAGAAGCGGAATTCTGGGTCTTTGCAGGCGCAGAGATTTGTCCAGCCTTTTCTGATGCGTTCGGAGCTGTCGCGCTCAAGCTGGTGCCTGTAGACATCGATGCGGTACCTCAGCAACGGCTTGTCTGGATGTGCTTCGGCCTGCTTGTACAGTGCGTCGAAGCTCATGTTCTTGCACCATGAACATATGTCTGTTCCTTGTTCTTGTCCTCCTGGACGTGAGCCACAAGCGGTACCGAATGCACAGTGTGGCTTCGGCGGCGGTGCTAGCATGACAAGCAGGTCGTACAGTGGTACACCTTATCTGTTAGCGTGGCCGACAACCTAGCAGAGCGACTTACCAGGTCAGGATCTGGTATGGCTTCAACTCGTTATTGTGTTGTAGCCTTCCACGTCATCGTCCGACTCCTCACTGCCCTCCTCCGAACCTGCCGACCTTGTCACCAGTTTGTCTGCTTCTTCATGGCATAGGCCCGTCGGCGTGAAGAACTGGGCGATTCTGATCTTCCGCAAACGCCTTCTCCAACACCTGGTACACGCAGTACCTTTCTTGCGGACAGAAGGGCAGTCCAGGCGAGTGCCGCGGAGGTTCAGGTCATGTAGTCGCCACCTGCAGTGCTGAAAATCCGGATCCTCAAAGGCGCAGAGATAGCGACCACGAGCTTCGATGTTGCGCTTCAGAATGTGCTTGCGCGCAGTTTCTTCGTTGATGAGTTGCAAGGCAACAGTGTTGGCGTCAGCCCAAACTCGCAATTGTTGTGGATCGTGTCGTTGAAGACAGTCCGCGCAAACCCGATTTGGGATGTAGATTTTCTTGCCGATGCCGAGACAATGAGATCTAGAGACGCACTCGACAATCGGTGGGGGTTTGAAAGTGGATTCAGAAGCTGAAGCCATAGACTGGTACCGAACGTCTAGTAGTCAGGGCTCCCACGCTCACTGGTTTGCGGTTAGCTCAACGTCCTTGCATGTCGGCTTCTGTGATAGGGCGCACCCGGTATGTGCTCCTATGACGTTGAGATTGACATTCTTGCTGGTCGTTGAACATGATGAAAAGACATCGACTAGTTGATGCTTGCAGGCTCTGCGAGTTGCATTGACAGGTAATGGGGACGGTACTGGACGAAAGCGGGCTGTCGCCATCTCCGGTGACATGAGTTGCGACCAATGCAATCGAGTGCATGCTTTACCACACGGACGCTACGGGCTCAGTCATGGAAGCTTTTTGTGGCGTAGAATGTGTCCGATGTGTCGGTTCAACTGTTACTGGGCGGTGTGATGCGCTGATCATACTCGCTAGGCTACCGGCATGGTAACATGCCATGTGCCTGTGCCGATTGGGTACCACTCGTGTCCATCGTGTCAACAGTGGTGTTGCTGCGCTAACATGCAGCTATGATCACCATGAGGTATGAGACCCGACAAACCGGACAGGCCAAAGCGGAAGCTAAGCCACCGGTTAGCCCGTAGATTTGTGTAGCTGAACCGGATCTTGTCTACCACTCGTCGGGAGACGATGGTACTCTTCTAATTCGTCAGCTGTGAAGAAATCGCAGCAGCGTGGAATATACGTTACGTGTATTTTGGACCTCGAACGCTTGAAACCTGTCGTGATTCGACGATGCTGTGATAAAGTTTCGCTTCGAGCATTCTAAACATGAGGAGATCATCGTGCACGGCCATGAGGTCCTTGCTAATGACCCCGATGAAGCCCAAGACGCTGACTCGTTCCGGTTCATCCGCCTCTTGATGCAACATGCTTTGCATCGTGTTCGAGACGCAGTCACTTCAACATCTGCTTTAGTCTTTGCAAACACTGTGTAACCGCGTACTTGCATTGGATCGACCCAGAGTAGAACTCTATCGGATATGCAGTTGTGACGCAATCTGGATCGGCAGTTTAGAAAACGACCTGTATCTTCCGCGATCCAACCTCATCTATGGAGGGTGATATTTGGCCGGTATGAGGTGTTCTGATCCGATACAACGGGTAAATGCGGTGTTTGGATGCCTTGAGCCTGAGGCGTAGGTGTCAGATGACATGTGGTCCTCCTGCTCGTCTGGATTTTGCCAATGCGATGACGAATCTCTCTCAGACTGCACCCATAACCGTAAGTAGCCGTGTCGTGCCCAAAGAACACCAGACGTATAAGGCCTGCCCGCCCTTGCAATGGTAGTATGCGCTGGAGATGTGTGCAACACCGAGTCGAGCTTTCATATGCATAGACAGTCGTTCGACATGGCATCGGATTTGACCGCAACGTACGTCGGCGAATGCGCATTACGCGTGCAGTGGTCCCAGATCGAGTCATCTAGTGTTAATCTTTTGAGCGAAAGGGTGATGCACATCGATTCTTACAGCCGAGACAGGCCACATCTGGCGCACGACCAGCTTCATATGGAGTCAGTGGCTTGGTCACATGTCGTTCGCTCTGGGCGACCCGGGGCACGGGTAGGATATGATAGGGATCGAGACCCTGGCGTGCTCATCCGTTGATTCGTTACTGAAGGCCATGGTGACTTTGATCAATAAACACCACTTTGCACCTCGCCAGAAACTGTCGTTGTGTTACGTGTAGCTGCGCGGTGTGGGAAGCAAGCACGCAACATGCATGGTACAACCTGCTGCGCCCGCTCGACATTCTGTTGTATCAAAGCTTAGTGGCCACGGAGATCGCCGTCCATAGAGCTCTGCTCAAACCGCAATGCTGCCAGATGACTGAAGGGTCGAACGGTCATCGAAGTATAATTATTGTGGATATACTACTGCGGAGATTGGGTCGCGCCGCGAATGATCGTGCCAAAACCGACGTTCGGCATGATTCCGCGTGTTCCATATGGTTGGAAGCTATGAGGCGCTGTGCTGTAGCATTGTCGTCACATGTCGGCGAGGCTGGATCGCACGAATACACAGGGTGTACAATCCGTCCATCTAGGATCGTACGGGGCGAGTCCTGTTGTGGAAGCATCAGGCGTCGGCTACGACTCGGCGAGGCTGACCTCTCCAAGGTTGGCATGGACCCGCATCGCCTCAATCGAAGTGTGGCGGCTGGCGGCAGCGCGCGAAAGTAAAATTGGAAGCCTGCTGGGGTAGCTGTCGAAGGGCTGTTCTGTCTTTGTTTGCGCTGAAAAAACGAACATCTGAAACCTCTTCTCACTAGCGTCCTTTAGCCTCGCGATCACCGACGCGTCTACGGTGCACCGACCTCGGGACGCGTGCACATCATTGCACGCGTAGCCAGCTTGCCACACACTCACACTCCAACCGGAATTACACAATTGGCGACGTCACCTTGGCCACCGCAGGACATCATCATTCGTCTCAGCAAGCGCGAGGCCGGATCATGTGGTCTAGCTTCCTTTCCCGAGCGCGTCCTACCCCTGAGAGAATAACACCTGCAGTACAGTGCACGGTCGACACGCCGGAAGATGTAGCTGCATCGGTGGAGGACAGACATGTCGATATGTCGGAGTTGCAGCCGACTATTGTTCTCGACGATAGCGGCGACGCCACCCTATTGGTCGGCACCGATTCAGCTGGCCTTCAGCCGGTCCAGGTATCTTCGACAGCCATGACCTTGGCGAGCCCGGTATGGAAAGCAATGTTCGAGCGACATCGGAAAGAAAACGGTGCCATTGAGGTCCCGCTCCGGGACGACGAAGTAGATGCGTTGTACATTGCACTTCGAATCGCTCATCTGCGCTTCCACGAGATACCCCGAAAAGACGGCCTTACAATCGATGCCTTACTCGAGCTCGCCGTTGTGTGCGCTAGATACGACATTGTCAAGCTCGTTCGGCCGTTCCTGGATCTCTACGGATGGGCGCAATGCCACTATCCCGATACTGACTCCGGAGAACGATGCGATCCCGGCTGGTTCTATGTTGCCTGGACTTTTGGCTACAAGGACAGCTTCCAGCGTCTTACCCGGTTTACAGTGAAGAAGATCGGGCTTGATGACGACGGGAATGCCATCATGGATGATGGCCAAAAGCTTCCAAAGTATATGCCTCCAGGGCTTCTGGGTATGAGAATCTCAGTCCCAATCGAAACATTCGTCCAGATATGCTGACCAACCTTCAAGAGCGCATGTTGCAAATTAGGGAAGCTACACTTTCGGCTATGCTGGATGTCCTCTACGATATTCTAGACGATATCATACACGTGTATGTCTGTCAGGTCGATGAATCATGGGAGCCCAAATGTCGAGCCATGGTTCTGGGTTCCTTCATCTCTTTCCTCTTGGAAAATGATCTCTACCCAGCACGACGGAGAGCTTCCGAAACTCCCTTCAGCATCCAAAAGTTGTACGATCTCGCGCACTCTGCCCAGATTTTGACTTTCGAATCACATGACTATACAGGTATGGCAGCACATATCCGGCGGTCTAGTTGGGATCCTGTAAACGTTACGGCGGAGACCTTCAAAAACAATGGCGGTCTAACTCTGCACAAGAAGTGTTTTGGGGCCTTTCATCTCCGATCGAAACTGAAGACTATTTACTCCGACATAGGCTCAGCCGTGCTTCAATCTCATATTGAGCACATGGATAAGCAGGCTCTGAAGTAACTTTTTTAGCTCCGACGGCCCGATGAACGAGTAAACGCGGGAAGCCATACTTCGGGTGATGAAACGCGACGGTTCTCATGCGGAAAATGCCGGAAAACACACTACAGTGTTGAGGACCGGAGTTGCTGTTTACGGCTTGTAGTCGAATTGAACAATGACAGGTTATTGAAGTATTTCGTCGCTACAGCACGATGACGAGGCTCGGCTCGCACTACCGCGCGCAACAACAACACCCCGCTCACGACGAGACTTGGTACTTGGCGACCACCCCTTCCACCTTCCTGATGTAGTCAAACAAAGTTCAACGCTCCCACTTTGAATGTACTCCAAGCCAGCGCCAAGCCTGTATCGCACAACGATGCCTGATTGTAAAGCCGATAACACGGCTTGCGAGGATGAACACAAGCTTGGAAGCCATTGGCATCGATGGTACCGTCGGGCGCATACATAAACCTTGATGGGCTTCGGATTCCTGGAGCCTCAAGATTGACAGCCTCGCAATGCTTCCTACCATTCGTTCTGCAGCCGTCGCGTTGCTGGTTTCCGCCGCGCCCGGCTTGGCTCAATTTCCAGCGGAGCCCGCGGGTCTCAAAGTTTTAGAGTCGCGCTTTGGAGATGGTGTGAAAATCACCTTCAAGGAGGTTCGTGCGATTTAGCAATCGGCAACGCTTCTTATCTAATATGTACATACTAGAACTCGCTTTGCGAAACCACTCCCGGTGTTAAGTCCTACTCCGGCCACGTCTATCTGCCTCCGGGAACCGCGGACTTGGGCCAAGGACAGGATTACCCGATCAACACCGTGAGTGCAGGTCCAAAGCATACATAGCTCTCACTTACCAATGCATACTAGTTCTTTTGGTTCTTTGAAGCTCGTGAGGATCCGACGAATGCGCCGCTTACCATATGGCTGAATGGAGGGCCGGGTTCCTCTTCCATGTATGGTATCCTTGAAGAGAATGGACCATGCTATGCGAACCCCGATTCAAACTCTACGCGTCCGGCGGAATGGAGTTGGAACAGAGCCTCGAACATGCTCTATCTTGACCAACCGGTTCAAGTTGGCTTGTAAGTATTATATTGCTCCCTAGCTCGAGGAATTGTTTGTTGACTCCTGCTCGCAGCTCCTATGACACCCTACAGAACATCACTCGCAACCTTGTTACCGGCGAAGTCACGCTTCTCAACGAGACTTCAACCGTGCCTGAGCAGAACACCACTTTGCTCACGGGAACATTCCCCAGTCGCGAGCCAAACAACACCGCTTTTGGCAGTGTGAACGGAGCCGTAGCTGCATGGGAATTTGCGCAAGCTTGGTTCCAAGAGTTCCCCCACTACCTTCCAAATGACACCCGCATCAGTCTTGCAGCTCAATCGTATGGCGGACGCTACGGCCCCGCCATGATGTCCTTCTGGGAAGAACAGAATCAGCGCATCGAGAACGGAACCCTTGGCGAAGAGGGCTACATTATGCACCTTGATACCCTGCTTCTCATCTCCGGATGCGTTGATCGTTACGTGCAGTACCCTTACTACCCCCAGCAAGCCTTCCGTCAAAACGGATACGGTATCGAAGCCGTCAACGAGACGACATACAACGCCATGGTTGAAGCAGTGCCAGAATGTCTCGAGCGCATCCAGAACTGCCGCGATGCCGCTAGACAAGACGACCCCGAGAACCTGGGTATCGATGCTGGTGTAAACGAAATTTGCGAAGACGCAGAATCGTTCTGTCGCGCGGAAATTGTCAGCCCGTACAACCAGTACGCAGGCCGAGACTACTACGACATCTCGACCCCGTCACCACCTCCATTCCCACCGCCATTTCACGAGGGTTACTTGAACCGCGAATGGGTACAAGCTGAACTCGGCGTACCACTGAACTGGACAGGCAGCTCGCCCCAAGCCTCTTCCGCATACCGCGACATTGGTGATTACCCACGTGACAACTGGCTCGACGACCTTGGTTTCCTGCTCGACAACGGCATCAAAGTCTCACTCGTTTACGGAGACCTAGACTTTGCCTGCCCCTGGGCTGGCGGTGATGCCGTCGCCAAGGCAATCAACTGGACTGGTTCAGCTGGCTATGCCTCCGCACGATACGCCGAGATCCAGACCAACGACTCCTACGTCGGTGGCCTCGTTCGTCAATACGGTAACTTGAGCTACATCCGCACGTACCAAGCCGGTCACGCGATTCCAGCCTACCAGCCCGAAACCGCTTTCAAGATCTTCACGCGCGCGCTGTTCAATCTCGACATTGCTACTGGTACCGAATCAACATCTGGAACGGAAGAGAGCAGCACATACATGAGCACTGGCCGCCCAGACCCTGATGTGCAATTCGACGCTTTCACCAGCGACAGGCTGACATACTGCTACACCTGGGATCTCAGCTCTTGCACCGAGGAGTACGTCGATGCGGTTCTGGATGGCTCGGCGGAGATTTGCCAGTACCTTGTTGTCGATGCGAATACTACTGCGTTGTTTCCGGAGGTTATTGCAAAGTGCCGCGCCGAGAGTGGTGGGAATGGTACTATGCCTGGTGGGCATAGTAACAATACGCTGCCCGAGTTCGAAGGTGCTGCTGCGAGCGTAAGAGGAAGTGCGTGGGCCGTCTGGTCGGCCTTCGCTATCATGGGTGTAATGAGCTCCATGCTCTAAGTGGGCGAGACAGATTAGAAATGGTTGGGTGCTGGAACTGTTCGACATTGTCTCCACAATACGACGATACATCACGACCACGTGCAAAGAATGCATATAACATGATTTGGTATCCATTACCTCAACTCGGATCTCCTCAATCTTCCAAACTAATTATCAAGGTTAACACCAAACTTCTTAGCCTGCTCCCTCTGCACCTTATCCCCCAAATGCGCTTCCACACCCTCCGCATCACCCTTACCCCCCTTCCCACCTCCACTTCCACTCTTCTCATCCTGCCCGCCCTTCTTCGCCCCACCGCTCTTCCCATCCATACTCCGATCCCCACTCTCCAAGCTCGTCGCACCATGCAACTCCTCCACATCAGCATGCCCCCCATTCTTCCTCACAACCTCATCCCCCGCACCCTTACTCTTCCCCACAGCATCAGCCACACGCTGCGCCCTCGCATCCATCTCCTGCCCCTTGCTCGACGACGTCGAGATATCCACTTCGTCTCTATCTAGCTTTGTGAACTTTTGGTCCAGCTGCGAGCGCTCGGGCGAGGTGGCGCTGTGGTGCGGTTCTGTGCGCTTCTTCGAGGATGAGGTGTCTTTCTTGGGTGGGAGCGGGTCTTGGGCGGAGGAGTCTTCTTCTTCGTCCAGAGGGTCCTTTTTGGGCTCGTTGACGCCGAATTCTTCGGCGTTGTCGGCGATGGGGGCTGCGGCGCCGCCGGCACCCATTCCGGGGAGGGCTGAGGTGGGGCGTTAGTTATGTGAGATGGATGGGTTTGGGCAAGTTTGGGGGTTTTTTTTCTTACCGTCTCCTGCTTCGACTTCGGGCATGGGGGCTACGTGCTTGGTGTGTTGGAGGGTTTTCTGTTGGTCACGTGTTAGTCGTTGTTCAGTCTTCTCATCATTGGAAGATGTACATCACCAGAAGCTCCGTGAAGAAGTTCTTGACCCTCAATTGGGCCATTGTCGCTAGATCCGTCTCCGTTGCGAGGCATGATGTTCAATTCGTAGATTCGAAAAAAAAAAAAAGATTAAGTGGTATGGTAGTTTGTAACAGTACAAAGCTGTGTAGCAAGAAATGATTCAATACCCCAGCTTCAACACGACACCTTCATATACCAGCTACTAGGTACTTGGAAGTTGGCAACCCCAATTTCTAGGTTTCCGGTTCAAAGACGTCATAGCTTTTGTTTATTGTTCGTTGCGTTGCACTAGGCGGTCCACTAGGCGGTGACCGGAGAGCGTCCGGCATAGAAATAGTGGACTTGCTGCTTTTTATGCACAGCAAGCCTCTCAGGCACCGCACCAGATTGAGTGTAGTCCCAATTCCCCCACATTTGCTGTCATCGTACCTGAGGCCTTTTCTGGCTTTGGCGCTCGAGCCCGGGGCGACTTTCCACGAGTAATATTGGCGGTGTGGGTTGAGAGCGGCTGGAATCTCGACTGCGGTATGGTGCCAGGACGTGAAGTGTACAGATCGAGTATATTATCGTGTCAGCTAAGGGTATAATACAAATTAATAGTGTCGCGTAAACATCGTCGTCGTCCTTTCCTTCGTTGCAACAAATGAGACTCCCTAATAAACAACCTTATGATCCCAAAGAGGCGCTTGCCTCACGCTGTTGTCGTCCCACTCGACCTTGCCCTTCTCATTCATTATTGCGCCCTCATCCGTGACCTCGACGCCATAGCTTCCCAAACTCTCAGTCAGCTCCGCAACCTCGTTCTTGCTGACGCCAGCCTGATCTCTCGCGAGCCAGATGACTTCTTCGCGTTGCGCCAAAGCGGGGTGTAGGTAGGCTTCGAGAACGTCCTGCTGAGTGTAGGCTGGTACAGGATGGCGGAAGCGTGTGATCAAAGAGGAGGAGATCTCGCTGACGGAAAGTGTATGCGGGGAGAACATCTTCTTGAGTAGAGATCGTTGTGGCGGGGCGTTCGACGGAGGAGCCATGCCAGCACCTTGCTCACCGGCGTACTGGCGGCTTTCCTCTCTGTAGCCAGACACAAGAGCTTGCTCAGATCGCCTGCTGTCCTCGCGCGAGCGTTTGACGTTGTTGTACCCAGGGTGCATGCCATTACCTTCCGAATGTCTTTCAGCGTCGTTGTGCTGTTGAGGGTGGTTCGAGTCATCGAGCAAGTTCATCTGCTTGATCTTGCGCTTCATCATGACGTGGAAGATGATGGTTGCTACGATCAGCACTATCTGGAGCACCGTAGGACCAGCAGATGTGACACTGTTGCCGATGCCGATACCGAAGAGACCCAAGAGACAAAGCTCTCCAAGGTAGACACCCACCATGAGCTGCTCTAGCGCGCGAGCATAGAAGCCACCCTTGGTGTCAACGTGGGTGTCGTGGACGTAGATCATGTTGTAACGGTAGGCCAAGTAGATGAACCCGATACCGAGTGTCGCGAAGCCCAAAACGAGTGGCGCGATGCAGGCGTATGATATCGCGATGACGCCCAAGTTGGTCCACTTCGGGTACTCCGCTCCCCAAGATGGCTCCGTGAAAGACACGTAGCGCATGTACTTCTTTCTCGGTGTTTTGGCGAACTTGCTCAGGATGAACACGCCCACCAGTCCCATCAGGTTGAAAAGGTACCTTGCAGCGTTGGCAAGTCCATACAGAATGAAGTACGAGATATAGAAGTTGGAAGCCTTGGGAAGATTCTTCGACAGTAGTGAGACAGCCGATGCCGGATTGCTAACGATTTGGCTGGCGACGGCGGTGGCGCTGGAGGTGAAAGTCGTGATGAGGAAGACTTGAATGACTTGGAATGCAAAGTACCAGGTTTGGGTCTGCTGCTCGACTTCGGACAGAGTTACTGCTCCTGCAAGTTTGGCGACGACTATAATTTGTCAGTATGCATTTGGAGTAAGGAGCTTAAGAATGACTTACAGCGGCAGATAATAGGCACCAATGCCATCAGTATAGCGAGAAGAATGGTAGGCAAAAGTCCAGTGACTACACCAAGGATAGGTCCAGGAATGGAGTCAATCCATGCCAAGAACGGCACGTTCTCTGTAAGATAGTTGACGTTGCTGATGATACCAACAATCGCAACAGGAATGGCCCAGAACATAATCAGAAGCGCAATGAAGATATTCGCAAGGATATGGCGGAGTTTTCTGTTCTTAGAGCCCATGCCGAGGTTCTTCCAGACAATCTCATCAGGTAAGACACCCATCTGGCGGGATTCAAAGCTTGCTGGTCTGCGATGTTGGTGTTCGTTGAAAGCGGCTTCGGCGGCGGCCATGGTATCGAATTCGATGAAGACAGCACTAGCAAGCTTCTCCCGGCCAGCGAGATGGGACTGTTGAGCCGATTGGATCTTGGGTAGCAGCTCCTTGATCTGGTTCCGGTAGTAGCCAATGGAGTCGACCTTGTGTCCAATGAGGGGCTTCAGCTTGTGCGTCGGTCGCAATGCCTTGTCGTAGGTCGCGTTCTTCTCGCTGCCCTTCTTCTGCTGCTGCTTAGTGACAGCTGACATGAACTTGATCTCGCTGGCCTCCAGCTTGGGTACATTCTCTTCGAGTTCTTCAACGTCATCTTCTAGGTCGTTGACGTCAGGTACCAACCAGATCTGCGCGACTTGCGGGAACGCGGTGTGTAAACTCTCGAGAGATAGATCCTTCTCCGGTACGTCGGTGAAGAGGACCGTTCGTTGCGAAATACGACTCGCATTCCAGGTGGACAATAGGTAGGCCTTTCGCACCTTGACAAGGTATAACATCTCCCTTCCGATTAGGAACAAGACCCAGCCGAAGAAGACCCAGGCCATGAGCGCATGGGCAAAGTAGCGAACGTCGTTTTCAACATTGGAAAAGCTGATGATGTCCAGGCCAGATTCACCACCTCCGCCAGTGGCATTGACAGGGAATAGCACAGGCCAAGTGATGATAGCACCGACAAAGGCCATGAGTGTAAGCACCTTGAGGAAGCGCATGTAGAGGTAGGCATCGAGGGAGTGGTGGTTGAGGACGTATTCATCACTGATATGCATGAACTTCTTGATCCAGCCGAATTTGCTCGAACCCGCGGATGGAGTCTTCTCACTGTATTCTTTGTCAGTCTCGATGGAAGATGTAGAGGTAGATATGTGATGAAACGTACTCTTCGAAAAGCGCATCGTGGAACGTTCGTGGTGCGTATAGACGCCTCTGTTTTGCTCGCAATAGCAAGAAAGCTCCCACAAGGATTCCAGAGACCACGATACATGGTACCAGCGTCGAATACAAAGCAGACACAGACGAAGAGCTGCTGCGGTGGTTACCCGACCGCGAAGACGCGCTGGGTGAAGACATGGTGCGCGACGTCGAGGATGTGAATGAGGCCACGAAACGAGGGTGTCGTTTTCAGTGTGTGGTTTTAGCAGGTCGAGCTGCCTTTGATGTATCGGCCCTGGTTACACCTTCCATAACGGCGCTTGCATCATAGCACCCAGACTCTGGCGTTTCCCCATAAACATTCAATGTCATAGTACATGGTCGGCACACGCGTTCCGACTAGTCGCATGCTCTACCAAACAAGATGGACCAGGGGCAAGTCGCGCGAGGCCGGAGGCTGGAACGCAGGTTGGTTAGAGGCTGGAGGATGGTCTAGCCTACCGGTTACGTCGATCCAAGACGATAGCGCGCATGCTGTAAAGCTTGGGAGGCGTGAACGTCGAAGGCGCACGCGGGGACGAGCGTCTGTGTCGTCATTTGCCCAACGCGAAACTCGCACAATCTCTGCAAAACAAGGTCATGCATTCAACAAGAGCTGCTGGGCATTGCTCCATTACACCTAGCCTGCCGTTTTTGCCGTTCAACGGCAATTTCCGTGCAGCGCTGGCCAACAACATCGTCGTTGACATCGTGTGAGGATCTTTTGCGAGTGTATGTGTACGGGCGGGCCTTACAGCCAAATTCTGCCAAAACGGTTATGGCGCAGTGACTTAGCCACATCTAAGCTTCAATGGGATGAAGATCAGGTTTTCTCCAGGCGCCACAATGGGGTGTGTGGGTCACTAGTCACGCTTGAAGCTTGACTGGACATGGATTTGCATTGGCATTCAACTTGCGAACAGTGGGTTCTTACGTTGCGATTTCCCACTCTGGTCAGAGATTCATTATTAACTAGAATTGATAGACTATAATACAGGGCTCCGATAATCCGTAGAAAACTTAGCTCATGAGCAGTCTCGTAATGGCACTAACATTAAGTGTCCTTAGATCACTGTAATGTTGCCCGGTACCCAAGAATACCACTGGAATGCCTGTCGCGTGCACCATCGACACCAATGTACCCACCATATCGCCGACGGTATCGCATTTTGAGATGATAAATCCATCGAGGTTTCTCCCCACGCCAAAAGAAGCATTGAAGTTGCGTGCCTGTGCCACAGAGTCTGTGCCGACAAGCGCTTCTCCAACCATGAGGATCTTGTCTGGGTTGGCTAGCTTGCCGAATTTCTCAAGGGAAGACATGAGACGTTGGTCGTTGTGTCGGCGACCAGCGGTGTCGATGAGCACCACGTTGAAGCTGTTCTTCGAGGCAAAAGTAACGGCATCCGCTGCAATGTTGGCAGCATCTTTGCCATAGCCCTTTTCGAACAAATCGACCTGACCTCCTTCTCTTTGCGATAGCTCCTTCAATCTATCTACGTGTACGCGTAGTTGCTCCACAGCGCCAGAACGGAATGTATCCGCTGCTGCGATGAGCACGCGGTGGTGGTTTTGCAGCAGGAAAAAGGCGATCTTGGATAGGTTTGTCGACTTTCCGACGCCGTTTACACCGACAATTGAGATAACGTAGGGACGAGATGTTGTGGCGTTGGTGTGTTGGATTTCGCGGAGGAGGTCTAGGGAGGACGTAGGGGTAAGCATCTTGGTAAGAGCTTTCTCCATAGAGGATTTGAGGGTCGTTTCGATTGCTATTACGATAGTTAGTAGCTGGGTGTAAGGAATAGGAGTGTCAACTGACTGGTAAAGCTAGGAGTCTTCATGCCCACGAGATCGCGCTCGACGCTCTCACATAGTCGCACTGCAGCTTCGAGAGCCACATTCTTGCGAAGTAGGTGCTGTTCCATTCCCTTAAGTGGTTTTGCCAAATCCTCCTTGGTGAGTGTCTTGCCGCCAACCACGTTCCTGAACAGGCCGCCAATGGCACCCAAACTGGAACCGACTAGCCCGCCAGAGGCAGCGGGTGTCTCCTTGTCCTTCTTCGCGTTTTGTGCTGCGATTATCTCGTCCATCTCTTCATCAAGATCTTTGAGCACGAACTCGCCCTTCTTTGTCTTGTGGCCCCATGTCTCTGGTCGGATCTCCTCAAGCGCCTCGTTCCCAGAGGCATCGCCCTGGATGTCTGATTGCGAGTAGTCGAGCACAGAGTCGTCCTGTTCTTCGGCCCCGAATTCGCCCCACACTCTGCCTTTTTTGGCTGAGCCCCTGCCCTTCTTCTTCGCTGATGCTTCGTCACCCGATGACACTGGTGCTGAGCTGAACGCCGAGGCCTTCTTCTTGTCTCGCCGTGACATCTTGCCTCCGAACGGTCTTGCCTTTCCAGTCAAAAGCTGACTTTGCGCCGGTGTAGTAGGCCTCGATGTATCTGGCGTGGGCACTGGTGTTGAATCGGCGCTCGTATCGTACAAGGACTGCTGTGGTTTCTGTAATGCCGTTGGCTTAGGCACGCTTTCGTCGGCGCTATCGTTATCCGTACTCGATTCGGGAGTCGTGAGCTTGATACTTGGTGCGCCTGAGTCGCTGGCACCTTCCAAGTCATGCATCTGTCGGTCGAAGTAGGCGCCGAATTTGTCGCAGTTGACCACACTGCTGTGCTCCGTCTTCAGCTGCTCGCCATACAGGCCGACGAAGAGTGCGCGCACGTTGTCGAGGAGCTTGTCGACCCATGTCAAGTGTACTAGACTTTGATAGACGGCCTATGGCACGGTCAGCTCTTGCGCATATCTACGTCGCATTGCGCCGTGGTCCTATCTCGATGCATTGGTGGAACGAGGACTTTGTTCATACCACAAAGATAAGGCCAAGATCCTTCGCCGCCGTCCACTTCAGAGTGTATCCCTCCTTCTTGTAGGTAGGTTTGGCGCCGGCATCCTCGGCGTGAGGTTGCACGCGCTCCTCGATGAAGACATCCCGGATTAAACTGTTGATGACGTTTGCGCCGACCGGGACATATGTGCGCGACCACAGGACTACGCCGGAAGTAGTCAATATCTCGAAGGTATCCAACATGGCGGGGGTGAAAGGCGGCGGGAAGGTTGCGGAAGGGAGACGTGGTGGTGGTGCGGCGGGCACATGTGGGATATGACGACGGGCCGTGCACGCTCTTGCCAGATGGTCGGAATTCGGAGGTGCCAACGACACCGCAGCTCAAGGCAGAAATTCAACCAACATTGACGGCGACGTGTCCAATTGCGCATCACAAAACTCGGGCTCCTTCGTCTTTTTCATTCCTCTAGACACCGCACTCGCTACACCCACCATCGCCCCGACGCGCAGCCATGCAGCGCCCCAACTACGGCAACCCACCACCGGCGCATTCACCACCTTGTACGTACTAAGACGCGTCCCATCATGCCTCCTGTAGATGCCATGTACTGACTATATCAAGTACATCACCCCGTCCCACAACACGTTTCCACGGTTCCCCAACTCCGGTCACCACCTCCCCCGCAACCCCCTTCACAACCCCAGAGCGGCTATGGCTACGGATCACAGGCAGGAGGTATGCCGCCTCAGCAAGGCGGATATGGCGTGCATCCGTCGTTCGGAGGCTTCATCAACGACCCGACTGCCCAGTTAGGGTTCCAGATGGGAAAGAGCGCCGTGGACGCTGGGCAGCACTACATGGAACAGAACGTATGTCTGGAATACACAGCGCAGGCTCTCTATTCTCGAACAGCTTGCTAACAACATCTCAGCTAGGACGCCTTGTCTCAGTATCCGCACTGAAGCACTACTTCAATGTCACAAATTCCTACGTCCTCAACAAACTACGCATCATCCTCTTCCCATGGTGGCACCGTCCCTGGTCGCGCCAACGGCAACACACGGCCGATCCCTCAGCCTCCGCCGCACTCCTATACCAACCTCCGCGAGAAGATGTCAACTCACCAGACATGTACATACCCACCATGGCCCTGGTGACCTACATTCTGCTATCGACACTCTTCGCAGGTCTACGCGGCGCCTTCAACCCCGAACTCCTAGGCAAGACCGCTACCGTCGCAATCGCCGTCACCTTACTCGAGATCCTCATCATCCGAACCGGCACCTTCCTCCTCGCCATCAGCAGCTCCTCGCAACTCCTCGACCTCGTCGCATACAGCGGCTACAAGTTCGTCCACGTCATCGTGTCTCTGCTCATCACCAATTTGGCCAATTGGATCGGTTTCAGTAGCTCGTGGGTCGGCTGGGTCATATTCCTTTATTGCTTCAGCGCGAACTCGTTCTTCTTGTTGAGGAGCCTGAAATACGTGCTGTTGCCCGACAACAAACCACAAGACGCCTTTGGCGCTCCTGCTCCCGTGGGATATCCTCAGGATATCAAGACTGGTCAGAAGTCGAGGAGGACGCAGTTTTTGTTTGTGTATAGCTATGTGGTGCAATTTGGGTTCATGATCTGGTTGAGCAAGGTATGAGTGGGGTACAGAAAGTGGCGTAGTACATCTACGCTGAGGGCGCAGAGGGCAAGGTATGTCCCACTCAGCTCATCGGTTCGACCTGGGAATACGCGTAGCTACGCTGTTACTTATTACCATTTAACGATTTGGGCAAGCGAGGAGTCCGCGCGAGGGTAATAGTCGCGTTTGAGGAGTACCATGTATCATGTATCTATTAGCATCCGCATGCGCATCCGCATACTCAATGCAGAGAGTCTTATGCGTACTGATTGACATCTATACGTATCTAAATCATGTCGCACACAACCGACGGAAAAGCTCTCATACCCACTGTGATGACCACTAGCGATGAACGCGTAAAGGCCCCAGTACGCCATACCATACATGCGCCGATACACCGCTTTTGAAGAACCCACCACACACATCTATCCCACGACAGGAACAATACGCCCCATAGCACGCATATGCCCCATACTCTCCTCATTCTCCCTCTGATAATCCAACACCACCTCACCAAACTGCTCAATCTGATCCTGTGCCCTCGGCGCTCCAATCAACACAATACCCCGCGGCACCACCACGTCAGCGACTTGGAAGCAGCCGAAAGTGACCACCTTCTTGATGGCGGGACACGACCGGAAGACACCAGCTACGATCTCAGTGTCGACGACAGGACAGAAG